CTTGAAGTTTTGGCATATTGTCAATTTGATACACGAGGGACATATTAAGTTGTCAAAATGAAGCCCTAATAAAGGTTACAGAATAGGTATGCTATTCTTAATTCTCGAAATTCTCTCACACTCAAACAACCGAGTTTCTTCAATCTTAATTAATTTTGACATCTCAATTATTCACTTTCATATTTTTCGGACAACATTGGTAAGACGATATTGTGAATAAATTATGCAATTTGTAATTTAACAATAATGTAGAATGACGAAACTGGTCTTGAGACACCGAAAATTGACGAAAAAAGAAGAACACAATAACACAAACTCAAAACTCGTAAACTGATTTAACTTAGGAAAGAACACCAAGAAATCAAGCTAACGAAAACACGCAAAGACGCACTCTTTTAAAACTCTCTTTCCAACACCAAGCGACTCACGCTTGTGCTGGTCACAATCGATTTCCAAGGACTCTGTTTCGGTTGTCAAGGACCACGCTTTTTATGCTTTCCTTAACCTACGCTTCACCTCCCCGTAGAGGAGTCAAGCAACTTAATTTTGTTATATAGAATAACTTTTCGATTTGCTTCTAGAAGATATCGATCGGTTTACAATTTATTTTTGTTGGCAATAGCCGATTTGCGATTTCTTTTGGTATCCTACGATAATATATTTACGAAAATAATAATGTTGCGTCCCGAAAACTGCAACTCGCTCGGTAAGTTTCGCGGGGTTGTAAGGCCCGCTTACGCTGCTGCGGCAATATTGCTGGGATACGGCCTACTCGATACTACTTGATAGAGCTAGGTTTGGTTATGGTTGAACCACAGAGAGTTCTATAGCAGATTGTTTCCTGCGCTGAGTTATTGGTGGGTCTCGATGATGATGGTGTGGTCATGATGGAATTTTTAGGAAGAATCTTTTTATGAATGCCTTGTCGGTGGTTTTATAAGGTTCGTCTGCTGCTGATTGGTCTGTATAAGATGTAAGAGATGGGTGTGTCTTTTTGTGGTGATGGAAGTTAAATAATTTGGGTCCTTGTTACGGTTTACCAAAGCGGTGGTTTAGGTGACGATGAGTATATACAAGTGAAGGAACGCTGACAATAAGGACATAAACCAGTCCTTCACTTTACCTGGGACATTGCGGTCCTAGGGCCGCAACAAATAGCATAAAAGATGCAATAAAGTGCATATATAAAATAAATTCGTAGGCTCGAATCTCTTTAACTTTATTTACTCGGCCGCTCTCTAGCCACTCGCTATGCTCACTCTCCTGCTCTCTATTATATAGTGACAACATTCTCAAGAATATCATTACAGAATAACATAGATCTAAAATCGTTCTTTCGCATATTCAAACCGTACATATCGGCACTCATGTCATAGCTTATAAAACTAAATCCACAGATCTTAAATGCAGTTTACTATAAAGTAAAGAGTTAATTTGAGAAGTGTTATGTATATAAGTTCGTCAATATATTTCTCAATTATTCATTATTCAATATGTACTATGTATTATAATATCATTATTATTAATTTAAACTTATCTTAAATATGTTATGTTGTATCTTATTTTTATCAGAATATTTTTACAAAAGAAAAATTAAAATTATATGAAATAAATTAAAAAGTTTCTAAGAAAAAGACGTTTCTGGAAGTAAGGTATTTTACCAATTTTTATAATTTATTCTTTATTATATTTTTATTATACTTTAAAGTTGAAGTTCATGCAATATCGATTATATAGTCTTTTTATCTATACCGTGGTTTTACAAACAAAAACTGTTTTCACTTTTAATATCTCGACACAGGATTCTGTCGTACTTGCCAATCTTTCTTCATGAAGCTGTGTTTGAATGTTCGCAATATTTAATTACCTTAATATTTAATTACATTCACGCTCTCTATTAGATAACAATAACGTCCATTTATCGACGCGGGGACTCGCGGTACAATAGTCGTTAACAATAGAAAGCCTACGAGAAGGTAGAGCTTGCTAAAGTTCTATAAACAGATTAACTGTCTTTACTGTTCGACTGATTGTTGGACCAGCAATTAAAACAGCAAAATTGAAATCAAACTGAGCCCTGGGCCTTCTACCCTTAGAACTTTTAAAGGCTATCGAGTATGTAGAAAGGCAAAGGATAGCGGTCGTCTTGAGGAAGGAAAAACTCCCCAAATCGCGAGCGGAGAAACACTTGCGCGGGAAAGTCAAGAAGTCGGAAAGGGTCATAAATTAGAAAATGAAAAGGCCTGACTTGCAAACCAATTGTCAGGCCTCAGACTAATCCTCGGAATAACATTGACCATAGCCAATACTAACGAATAAAGGAATGAATGATTAACATTTAATTTTTTATTACCCCGAATTCAGAAACATTTCTATCTGCAAACGATATCAACTGTTGATCGCAATTGTGAAATTCAGTAACGCCTCAATGCACAGCGGTTTGGGTCGACAGAAACTAAAATCAATTTTTTGACGTCGATGAAAATTCATAGAATTTTAACTATATATTCTCATAAGTATAAAGAAAGTTATGGTATACACAAGGATTGCTACGAATTATTTCAAATTTTTTTAGAAGCTTCGAAAATAGGAAAAAGTGCCTGTTTTATAGTGATCGTATTTTCTGCAGAAATTGGTATATATTGTTGCACTATATCTTTATAGCAATAAAGATTAGATTATATACATTTTGATATAGGATTGAAGCGTGGTCTACTAATTATACGTATGTAAAAAAGATTAGTAAAATATTTATATTTAAATCCTTCAAAAAGAGTTTTACTGTATACATATTTCTTTTCGTTTTTACTTATACACAATAGTTAGATATACAAAACAAAAGTCACGCAATGTCACGATAAATCTTATGAATATATTTCTTAGAGGATACCGAAGATGACCGAACATGAATATTTTGCATCTTCTTGCAATCTTCATAGTTATAGTGATATGTTTGCAATTGGTTCACAAAACTCAGTTAACGCAGTGCGAGTATGTAATAGTGAATAGCTTATAGTAATCGTATCTTATTTAAAGTCAGGAATAGTATTATTACAGGCATTACTATCTTTATTATTTATCGTTGATCTACATATATTGTTACAAATTAAATAAGTAAAGTGTTGAACTTGATTTTTAAAAGAGTTTGTAAAAGTTAGATAAGTGAGGATAAGATTGTCAATCTTTGAAATACCGTTTCGGCGATATTATTACTTGTTGAAAATAAGATACGTCTTAACGTATATGTTTTGGAGGTATCAAGGGGGTATCGCGTCGTTCCCTTTATCTTCCTGGTCGCGTGGTTTCCGCTCGAAATAATTCGTCTTCGCGGTTGTAAGGCGCGAAGATATCCCGATGTGGATGGACGGTTCGACGCGACACGGTATCTCGTCGACTTAACGAGGAGATACGAAAATCGTCTCGTGTTAGAAGAGAACTGTCGTCTCTAATGTTTCGTTCGGAACTCGTTGGAAAGAACCGATGTCTTTGAGCGCTCGTTCGGAAGTGTCTCTGACCAAGGGCGTTCCCTTGGTCCGCGAATCCGTTACCTTGGAGTGAGGGAAGGTTCCCCCGAAAAACCACGATAGTGGAGGAAACCCTCTCCTCCAAGGTGGGGTACCTGGGGTTCACCCGCGCGCCGGTGACCCCATCGGCCGTTTGTTACCCCTAGCGAAGGCCTGAGGCTTCCAACGTGTGCGGACCACGTGGAGCCCTCAGGCCTATTGTCAGCCAAGTCTTAAGAGCCGTCGCCTAATTTCGTTAAATTAGGGATTTCCAGGATTCTCGTGTTCCGCGACACGAGAAGTCAAAAGAAAAAAGGTACAGCAGTCAAACATGCTGAAGGCATGGAGCGGGAAATTCCGATGCCGAATTGTTCGACCCTAAGACCTGGCTGTTGGAAGACCGTAACGGGTCTTCCTTGTTCCACGACGGAACATATATATAGGAATTGTTACGTGGTAAAAAACGACGGTGGAAGATAATAAAAATATGATTATTGTAAACTAATTTAGAACTTATTCTAGACGCTATGACCGCTCACACTGACTATTTTTCAAAGAACTCTTCCCATAGAACTGCTGCCAAAGAACTGTTCGCTTCACGCCTGTTCAGGCTTGTCCCATCTTGGGACAACGCGTGTGACTTAATAATCCTGAACATGCCGCCCGCCTTGAACAGCTTGCGTTCACCGAATCTATGTTAATATATATATATATCTTGAGTTTGCACGAGGAAACGAATGTTTTCGAATCTAATTGCAAATCGTACACAGCGATGAGATACATAATAAATGAAATTCTAAACGAATGAAATGAAATGATTCTTAGTAGCCGTGATAGACGTAATGTAAGACGAAACGTGATGACTATTCAGACGCTGTATGAGGATGTTCCGATTGAGGAATTGGAACGATGCAGATCTTGTTGATCGGCCGCTTAATCACACCTTCCATTGTATGAATGGATGCTACTCTTGGGATTTTGTCTGCCCCTGGGTGCAGCTCCAATATTCTTTCCATCTTCCATCGTAGGGGTGGAACATTGTCATTCTTGATGATGATCAGAGTTCCTGGTCCAAATTCGGTGTCTGATGACACGATCCACTTGTTAGATTGTTGGAGCTGGTGGAAGTATTCATTTTGCCACCGTTTCCAAAAGTGCTGCAACATCGCTTGAAGCAGCTGATACCGATTTAGTTTATTGGTTTGTAGATGTAGTAGATCAGCTTCGGGTAGTGACGTTAGGGAGTCGCCTATTAGGAAGTGTCCAAGAGTGAGGGGTGATAAATCTGTTGGATTGTCTATGAGTGGGCATAGCGGACGGGAATTCAAGCTAGCCTCTGTTTGAATCAACATGGTGTACAGTTCTTGGTACGCAAGCCTAGTTTCGCCACTTACTCGCTTCAAATGATATTTGGTTGATTCTATGTAGAAAGCCTTTGTAGTAAGACATACGGCAATATATAGATATGATTTTAATTTCTCCCTTTTCCGTGAATTTTTCCTAATATACAGAGGGTCAGCGTAGTCCACACCGCTATTGGCGAATGGTCGTGCTGGACGAGTGCGCGCAGCAGGTAGGTTGCCCATTATGTAAACGAGGTTCGATGATTTGACCTTAAAGCACCTTACGCAGCGCTTAACTTGTTTTACGCACCTTCTACCTGATGGTGGCCAATACTGTGTGCGTAGTGAATGCAAGGTGGCTTGACAGCCTGCGTGGAGGGGCCTTAAGTGTTTGTTCGAAATGAGCAGTTTGGCTAATTTAGGTTTAGTTGGAAATATGATAGGATGTTCCTGGATACATGGAATCTGTGTGCTGTTGGGTCTACCGCCCGCCCTGAGGAGTCCAACTAAATCCAGAAAGGAATTTACAAGAATTTGCCTGTATATTTTAGGGATGTCGGCAGAAATAACGCGACGATGTTTTTGAAAATGCAAATGATTTGAAATCAAATCTTCCTGCACGACTGGCCCTACATGTTCTACATCGTGCAACGACAGTCCTGATGACAGTTTCTCTTGTTCAACTGAACTGCCCAAATCGTGGATCGTTTCTTTGAGTGTAGTTGGAACGATGTATCTCCCATTTGAATTGTGGGAGATATTTGATTTAAAATGTTCCTCGCAATAAACTGAAGCATTATTTGATTCCACGATTTGGTATTCGATCTCCCAAGGCCTGGTTAATTGCTCATGCAGATTTTCATTGGTCACAAAATGGCAAATTGAATGTCTCTCTCTGGGTGGGTACGGTGCGTTTGAAAACTATCCGAAAACTATCCAACCAAACTGGGTCTTCTGAAGCGACAGACCACTCGACTTTAAAGAGTGGCACCCTATGCACAACAAATCCCAAAACAGTGCCGCTGCAATAATCATATAAATTTCCTTAGGATCATTGAAACGATGATCGGCCAATGGAAGATTTGCAGGCAGTTTTAGCGAGGATGCGTCGAACCGTCTATCTGGGATGCTTTCCGAGATGGCGGGCAAGATTAGACAATGGATGTGGCGAGTAAAGCCATTAAACCGAGAGATGATGGTTTCTTGTGCTTCACAGGTGACCTTCCGAGAAAGTTTGCTGATTCCAGATACTCTTATGTTTGTTCTACGTTTATGTAATTTTAATT